ATCTCCAACTTCCTAATGTTATTTGGTCTAATTCGGTTAATGCTACGCATTGGGCGGAATCATTTCCTCTAGAAGGATCATATCCTATAAGTATTTCTTTAATAAAATTAGTAAAATTCCAAGGGTTATTTCCTAAATCTTTAAGCTGTTTAATTGTTTCTTCAAATTTTCCTTTAAAGGTTAAATAAATATTATAAGCTGAATCTCCTAAAAGTGTCTCCATATATTCCCACATATCTGTTGATTCATAGGGACTGGTCATCCATGCTTTTATTGCATCTACTTCTTGCCATACCTGAAGGTCGAATCTAGCTAAATCTAAAAGGGTTCCTTGATTATTAACTGGCTGTAATTGTATGCTCATATCTAATGGTCTACGCTTTCCATGAAATTTATAGCTTTTATTGGGATCAGCATGACTACGTCCTAAACTGGCTAATGGTCTTCTTCCTCCTACTGCATAGTGCATTGGTTCTACGGGATCTTGTACAGTTGGTTGAGGGTTATTAGTTCCTGAGCTTTCTGTATTCATGTAAAAAGTATCTTCTAATTGAGATTGTTCTAATATTTTAGTATTTCCTACCTTAGATTGTTCTAGTATTCTAAATATTTCACTAGGATGTATTATATCTTCTATGATATCATCTACATATTCTGTATGGAATTCTTGATCTAAAAATGATACTGCTTCATCATGGGTATCTCCTCTGGCTAAGTATTCAAAATATCTAGCATCTAATATCTTGTTCATGTCTTCTAGAGTGAAATTTTCTAAATCTATCTCATCAATATTATATATCTTATTTTGTGACAGTTTTTTCTTCTGTCATTACATAAAGCTGATTTATTTCACTACGATTATCTTGATTTTCTTCCTTATCTATATTGCTAAATTCATCATCTTCAGATTTTTCTGATGCTACATAAGTATACTGGGTAAATCTTATTGCATAATTTCCATCTACTGTTTGATATAGTAAATTATCTTGAGGGGCTAATCTCTTTTGTCCTAAAAAATCTCCTAATTTCCAATCTAGGGCTGCATTATCTTCTGAATTAAATTTTTTAGCTGGTAATGCTTTTATTTCTTTTGCGCCTAATAACTTAACTATCTGATCATTTGTAAGTCTATAGTGGGTATTACTTTCTGAAACTACTAAGCCTAAAAATCCTGTGCAAACTAATAAATTCTTCTCTCCCTTTTTCATACTGTATCCTCTACTTTTTATTCCTATTTTTATCTTTTTATGGAAGGTTGATGTTGGTAGTAAGAAATCTGGTGTAAAATAAACTATACCTCTTTTTGAATTCATATCTAGTTCATAGTTGCCTAAAATACTCTGTCCTACATCATTAAATCTATCATCATAAAGACATACGAAGACTTTAGTTTCTAAATTTTCTCTGGTTAAAGCTTTAATTCCTACAACAACTAATCCTAAATGAGTCATTTTAAGGTGTTCTTTTACTGCGTATTTATAGCTTTCTCTATCTATCAAATTTAATTCTATTTTTTCATCTTCATGAGTTACGCTAATCATTTGCTCACCATAATATTTAAATAGATATTGTTTTTTATGAATCTTACCTAGTTTATATACATATTTGGCTGGAATTAACTCTAATTTTTCCTTTTAAAATTTTTCTATTTGTTGCTCTACATCTATAAATTCTTCCATTTTAACATCTTCATCTTCATTACGCTCTTTACTACTACTTCCTTTTATTAGTTGTTTAAACATTTTTATTTTCTGTAAGTTCTATAAACGGATTTCTTTGGTAATTTAAGCTTTTCAAAATATCTAGCTATATCTTCTTCGATTACCTGAGATTGAGGTTTATTAATTTGTCCTTCTACTCCTTTTCCTTTTTGAAGTATTGTTTTTTCTAAAGAAACTATGTGATTCTCTAAGCTATGTAGCTGTTCTGATAAATATTCAAATTTTTCACACAATCTAATAAGAAATAAAATTTCTATATTATTCTGTCTTACTGATATTTTATCTGACTGATTTATTCCTTGATAGCTACTGATTCCTTCTGGGTTATTATGAAAGTCTTCTGCTTGTTTTAAAATAGTTTGGTAATCTCTATTAGCCTTTTTATCACTACTCATAAACTAAGATCTTACTAGTTGTTCTAAAATTTCTAATTTCTGTTTTAAATTATCTTGAGTTTGATTAATCTGTTCTATTTGTTTAGCTATTTGATTTGTAGCTGAAATTAATATTTTTATTTCTAATTTAGTGGGAAATTTTTCTAAATTTAAATCTATTCTTTTTTGTAGGATAGAATTACACTGATCTTGGATATAATCTAATTTTTTATCTTGATCTTTAATTATACTACGATTATTTCGAAGATGGTCTATAGATGAAATAAAAAGATTACTAATTTTATCTATGTCCTTTTTAATATTTTCTGCAAAATTAATCTGATAATCTATGATACTATTTAGTTGAGGATTATGTTCACTATGAAGCTGATGTGTAAAATTGTTTTCAAAATTACAACGGAAATTATTTTTATTTATGCTAAGACGATGATTATGGCTGCTGAGTTCTAAATCTAGATACTCTACTTTTTTCATATACAAAATTAACTCCTACTTTAATCTAGGTTTATTTTGAAACTGATTTCGATGGTCTGAATCGTACATTTTTTAGGAGTCGTTGAGTGTAATATTTATGCAAAAAATTAAAATAATTTGATATTGGTAACTATGAATCATATTTATTTTAAAAAAATGAATAATAAATATAATTTTAAGAATAACCATCTATTTTTTGCAATATAAATTTGATTCAAACATATAGATACTTATGCAAAAAATAAAAATGTTTTGACATTTGAATCATATTTTTTTTAAAAAAATGGATGACAAATATAATTTTAAGAATAGTTATCTATTTTTTGTAATATAAATTTAATTCAAATATGTAGATACCGATATCGAATCATCTTATTTTTTGCATGAATATTTGACCCAACAAATTTTAAAATGGTTCAAATAACTGAAATCAATCTCAAAATAGATTTACCAATTCAAAACGCTATCTCAAATTAAAATAATCAAAATGAGAAACCCCCCACCCATATATATTTTATATTGTTATTTTGTTGGACTCTATTTCCTCTTTTCTCTCTCTCCCTCTCTCTTTAATTTTTTGTTCTATTTTTTTTTGGACCAATAAGGACTTGGCACGTGAGATGCTTCTCATGACCTTTTTATTTATTTTTTTTGACAAATTATATTAAACCCTCTCAAATTATCAACTATTTACACTCTATCCTCTAATATTTTAAACCTAACAATTATTCCCTAAAATTATTTGAATTTAAACATTAAGTCCTTCTATTAGTCATCTGTTAGATATTTGGATAAAAAATTGTCAAATACTGTGCACATGATGATTATATTAAATTTTTACAAAATATAAAATAGAGTAATTTAGTCATAAAATTTAATATAGTCATAATGTGCACAACACTTGACAAAATAGAGAGACTTAATGTTCAAATTCAAATAATTTGAGGAGATAATTGTTAAGTTTAAAATATTAAGAGAATAAAGTGTAAAGGATCGATATTTTGAGGAGATTTAATATAATTTGTTTTTTCTTTTATTTTTTCCCTTAACTTTTTCAAGACCAATTAGATTTCAATTGTTGTTCTTCCACTTTCACTTTAATTATTATAGTGCTGCTCTCGTTTGGCCATCTAAAGGTAATTATCTCTATGTGGTTAGGCCTCTCTTTTGGTCATCCAAAAAGCAAAGGCGTATGGGCCTAGAATATTAGAATACACACATATATATATACATAGGAGAATTATATTTCATTGGAATATTTTTTTTTTATATAAATATAAATGGGTGTAAGTCACACTTACACCTTTATAATCTTTTATTTACACCTCATCACAAAACTACTTGTATAATTTTTTTTTTATTTGTCTCACTATTTTAAAATAACCCCTACATATATTAATTAAAAAAAAAAAATCTACTTAAGAGCAAAACATTTTGGAAAAATGTTACTTTTTTTAGTTGGATCCCAACCACACCTAACAAATGGAGAAAGGAAGTTGATAAACGACAGATATAATGAGTAATAGATTATACGGACTAAAATTAGAGAAGTGTCACTAATGCCACCATTATAAAGAGTATCAATTATTATTATTATTTTTTTGTTATAAAGAGTCGAATTAACAACTTTACACTATAAAGTGATGTTACACAATTACTAAATTAAATGATATGTTGGACTACATTTATTTCATTTATATTTTTTTCTGTTCTTTTTCCAATTCTCAATTCTTTTTGGACCAACAACAATTTGGCACGTTGCAAAGCTTTCTATGGAAACTTTGGTGACCTTCCTCCCTCTTTTGTCATTATTAAAGTAGTCTAAAAAAAATCATGTAACATTATTGATGTAATAATCTGAACCAATGGTATAACAGAAAATTTTTTCCTTAAAATATGATAATTTACCATTGTTAAGTAGTTTGGAAATAAGGAATAATCCGATTAATATAAATTGTAATTTTTTAATTTTCAAAATATCACAAAATAAAATTTTAGAAAAATTACAAAAAAAATTCTTAAGATTTGAGTATTATAACAAAATAAATTTTTTATTTTTAATTTTATCAATTTAATATCTAAACTTTTAATTTATTTTCAATGTAAATTATTTGTTTATTTTCATTAATAAAAATCAATGAAAAATAGATATTTCAATCATTAAAATCAATAAAAATAATATTTTAGATATTTTATATATACAGTTTAATGACTAAAATATTTTTTCTGTCAATTTTATTTAACAAAAATAAATAAATAGTTTAGATTGAAAATAAATTAAAATATTAAAATTTAAATTGATAAAACTAAAAATTAAAAGTTTTTGTTTTTTTATTATAATTTGTCTCTAAAATTTCTAATAATTCTTCCTTTCCTCGTAGCTTTAACCGACACTTTTGCTTTTTTGTCTTTTTCACAAGCCAAAAGCTGTCTCTCTGTTTCACATTTTTTCTCAGGCAAAGAGCCTCTCTTCATCTGGTGAGCTTAGCATTGTCTTCTTGAGTTGAAAGACTTGAAAGGGTCAGGCTCTCCTCACTCCCCTCCATCGTGCCCAAGATTGTACACACTCTCTATACACTTGTACACTTAAGACCCAAATGCCCCTCTTGGTGCTTCTGTGACCATTGAAGAAGAAGCAGCTCTCTTGAAGTCTACTTCACTTGGAGGACTTATCAATTTTTTTGGGTAAAACTCAATCCTCTCATCTCATCTCTTTTGATTTTGTGGTAAAAATTAAAGGGTAGGATTTTCTAAAGTAAACACGTTTAGGTTGTTCTTAATTTTAAAAGCATTTTTTTGTTATTTTGTTCTTGGATGAGGAATTTTGTGATGTTCCAGTATGTATTTTATTTTCAACATAAGGTAATTTAAAAAAATCATGAAAATGGGATGCTTGATGCTATCACTTGTTAGATGCCATGCCTAGGGTGTTTTATCTTGAAATCCTATGAAAAAAGGAGTACTCAAAATTAATTTATCTTGAATGGCATGTTAGAGTATGGTTGGTTATCATAATCACGATGCGGATCGTAGGATCTTACAATTGTATAACCCCAATTGGGCCAAACAACCCGGATCTCATTAGGATCTTAATTGTATAACCCCAGTTGAGCCAAACAATCCGAATCACGTTAGGATCTTAAATTTTGTAGAATCATACTGCAATCATGATTCTACTACGATCCCATTCCAACCGAAAAAAATTTGTTTGTTATTTATTTCTTACATATGTATGTCCATATGAAAAATTTGGCCATAAATCCCTCTCAAAGCATCTCCTCTAATAAATGTTAGCATAGAAGATGCCTTATATCAAATTGTCATTTTTCTTTAATGATTTTAAAATTATTTTACGTACATTATTATTATAGATAATTTTTCAATTTACTTTGCACTGAAATTAGAATCTTACAATTCTTGATCCGATCCATGACTCTCTCCCAAAGATCCCACATAGGATCCCGATTTTAACAACCTTGTGTTAGATGGTTGTTAAAATCGAGATTCTATGTAGGATTGGTGCGAGGGTATTGTAGATTGGATTGGATTGGATCGGATCGGGTCGTAGGAGTGGATCAAAGATCATAAGATTGTACTCCTATTAAAAATAAGGTAAAAATACAAGATATATATTAAAAATAAGGTGAAAAATCACAAATCCTACACTATCCCACACGATCCTACTTGTGATCCTACTATAACATTGATTTGGATCATTTTGACAATATAGAATTGTACGATCCTACGATTTGCATTGCTATTTTGATAACCATGATGTAAAATGAAAATTTTGAAGTATTAGGTGTTATATGCCATGTTATTGAAATGTATAATTTTTCTAAACATTTTGGTAGATTAGGGCTTTATTTTTAAAGCCATGCACCTTTGAAACTTTATTTTAGATAAATTTTGTAAAGTATTTGATTTATGCTTAGAGGAGTAAGTTCACATGATTAATATGCTTTGGATGATATTTTAAAGTTTAGTTGTCAAAGATGGGAGATTGGATGTCAAGTAAGTGACATTTTTATTGAAAATAATGAAGTATATGAATTAGAGCTTGTCTATGTGCTCACATGCTTTATAATTTTCTAAAATGATTTTGGAAGTGAATGCTTAGGTTAGGCTATATATTGAAGTTTATGTTTTGTTTGGGAAAAGATGAATTTTATTATGAAATTTTAAAAGTTGGAAACATTGTCAACATGTTTAGATGATTGTCAAGTAAAATGGAATTTGAATCAAGATTAAAATGAATGAGTTTGCAAGTTTCAAAACTGGAATGAATTCCTTTGACCGTATTCTGGGTCATTGAACCCTAACGTAATCATGGACTTCTTTAATTGGTTTGAGTTTTAAGGTACTGACTTAACTTCTTTCAGTTCATCTCATTAGGTTTAGAAATCCTGGGTGTCACATAATATGTGATATAATTAACAATGCAAAAATAGCACATGCTGCTGAAAGGACTATCAGTTACAGAAAAAGATATTTTTTGCACAATTGAGGAACAAATAGTTTAATCCTCATGAAATAAAGTTTATTACTGGAACTCTAATGCCAAAGATAACTGTTGCACATAGGTCTCAAGGTGTTTAGATAGAGAACGATGCTTTGATTTAAAAAAAGAAAGAAAAAAAAGATGACAACCTTCCTAACTAAAATTTCATAAAAATAAACCAAACAATAAATTATATGGCATCAATATTTTAAAATGAGACAACTACAAAACCCAAATTGCATTCATGTGAGTCAAATTTAACTATTATCATCTGTTGGATTAAAAATGGAAACTTTTTTTTTTTTAATCAGCAAAGAAAATCTTTATGGAAACTTGATGGATATCAATTCTGAAAAGGGGCAAAACAACTGGAATGGAGAGAATTTCACAGTTGAACACATTTTAGCTGATGTGGCATTTACTCAATGGTAAACCATAAACAAAGGGTTTAAGGGATAAGTCTGATTTTCTTTCACAAGCTCAGAGTGTGAACAGTACACGTTTTTTGATTGGTGCCAAGCAAAATAGTGGAATCTTGATGAAAATCAATTCTGAAAATTCTTTTGTTAGTAGTTAGTAGCTAGAGTGAATTAGTTGCACTCTAGAATGATCTGCAAACAAGTATTAATAGGCATCTAATTTATTCAGCTATGCAAGCCCAACAGAGGCAAATAACTTGAAGTCAGAACATATTTTTTCATCTTCTTTGTCACAAATAAAAACTGATTCATACCCACAATTTTTCGTAACAAATTTCCAGATTTTTACAAATTTCTGCACAGAACTTTTCTTCCTTAACTCTCCTGAATTCTTGCTGCCCCATCACACCCTGCAGCAACCTAACAGTGGTATCAGAGCATTGAAGGTCAGCAAAAGTCCAAAGGATGGCAGCAAGTTCCAGCATTACAACCTTCAAATATTCACCAGCCGGACTACCGATTTTTGAAGGAGAAAATTACGATTTTTGGAGCACTCAAATGAGAACCCTTTTCATCTCAGAAGATCTGTGGGATTTGGTTGAAAATAGCTATGAAAGCCCTCAAAGCCAAGAATCAGCATGGTCAGAGGCAAGGAAGGAGAAGTTGAAAGAACATGAGATGAAAGATGCCAAAGCCTTGTACTACATTCAACAAGCAATCACAAAAACAATTGCTCCAAGGATAATGGCTGCAACAAAATCTAAAGAAGCATGGGAGATTTTGAAGAACGAGTTTCAAGGATCGGCAAAGGTGATCGTTGACAAACTTCAAACTCTTTCGACAGAATTTGACAATTTGATGATGAAGGAAGGTGAGTCCATCGAAATTTTCTTTACAAGAGTTTATAAAATCTTTTATCAATTGAAGGCTTGTGGAGGTATAATACAAGATGAAAGAGTAGTAGAAAAAGTCTTGAGAAGCCTTCCAATCAAATACAAACGTGCGGTGGCTGCCATAAAAGAATCAACAAATTTATCAACTCTTAGTTTACATGAACTAATGGGTTCCCTTCAAGTGGATGAAAAAAGAATGAATAGATTTTCTGATCAGCCCTTGGAGCAAGCTTTTCAAACAAAGATGAAAATGTCAGAAAATAAGGATGGAGAAAACAAGAAACAAAATCAAGACAATCAATTTCAGAGAGGCCAATCTAATCGTGGCCATGGAAGAGGAGGAAAAAGGTATACTCAACAGACTGCAAGAGGTATATCAAAATCTGAATCTTGCTGCAAATTTTGCAAGAAAACTAATCATGGAAGCATGGACTGCTATTTTAAAAAATGCACAAGATGCAAGAAACCTAACCATTTTGAAAAAGATTGTCGGTTTCGTGAAAAGAATGAAGCTAACTTTTCAGAAAAGGGTGAATCTTCAAACCAACAGTTCTATCCTTGCATGAACACTCAACAAGAAGCACAAATGGAGGTAAAGCTTGGAGATGGGAAGTTTCAGAACGTTGACGGAGAGGGCACCATTGCTGTGCAAACAAAGGGAGGTAACACCAAGCTAATCCATGATGTTCTTTATGCTGATAGTTTAACTCAAAATCTATTGAGTGTGGGCCAATTGATACAAAAAAGGATATTTGGTGAAATTTGATGAAGATGAATGCACTATACTTGCTAAGAAGAATAATAAGAAAATTGCTCAAATAAATATGGCCACCAATAAAGTGGTTACTCTCACAATGCCAGTAAAGGCAAGCTATGCCTTAAAGGCTGAAGACATGGATCAATCTATGATATGGCATTTGAGGTACAGTCTTTTGTCAACTTGTCTGCAAACCAACCCAACCTGCCTATATGTATATGAAAAAATTACCTTGCACTTGCTTACTAGCAATCTCTCCCTAACCTTATATACCATTCATCAAATAATACGCCCCCCTCATTTTTATTGCATATTTATACCTTAATTGACTCTTTTGTATTAATTTTTAATTTCGAATAATATCATGCATTGATTAATTTGTTGGTTTTGTGTTGGGATTTGGAACAAATACTAAATTTTTTGGTTGAAATTTAAAATAAATAAATAAATTAAGGTTATATGCTCACTAATGTTATATTTCATTTTGTATTTATAACCCATCCAACTTGTTCAAACCATTGGTTTGAAATCGCCGAAGTATTCAAGCAACCTGCTTTGAGGGTGGTTGTGTTGGTAAGCATATTAAAAAATTCTCCATTTGCCAAGGATAATTCAGTTGATGATTTTTTTCCCAAAAATCAACCCAAGTCGATCCGAGCGCACCCCTACTCAAGAGTCACATAATCTTGTAAAGTTTCAAGTGATTGTGACTCTTGGGGTGTTGGCAACTTGGCACAATGTTGAAGGAGCTTCTATTCCTACACCCCACTTTTTTGTCAGTCGACATCATTATTCAGTTCACACAAACAATTCTATCTTTTTTCTTTTTTCTTTTTTGGCTCAGTTCACACCACTTAATCCCCATAACATCCTCATCTTTAACCTTCAAACCCTAACCCTAACCCTAACCCTATCTCTATCCCTCTGCCACCCTCACTGGCACAACTCTCTCTCTTCCCCGTCACCAACGCCCCAACCTCCACCTCTTCCCTTCTTGTCCCTCTCCATCGCTGCCACCTTCTTTGTCTTTTTCTTCTTTTTCCTCCTCCTCCTCCTCCTCCTTCTAGATCTTTGGGGGAGGGCTGGTCACAATGGTGGGGGCCTAGGCAGCGGGTTGGGTTGCGGTGGTACGGATTGGGGAGGGGGAGGGGGGAAACAGTGGTGGGAGGGCTAGCGAGGGGGTTGCAGTGGTGGGGAGATGGGGGTCACGATGTTGTGGGGTAGGGGTGGTGGTGGTTGGCAATGGTGGGGTTAGGAGGGAAGGTGTGCATCTTTTGTCCTTAATGGTAATTTGTTTGTGCGGCACAATCATAATTGAATAAAAAAAAATGGTGTGAACTGAGCAGAATGATGATATGTAGAAGCTCCTCAATGTCAAGGACCACCAAATAACTTCTCTAGCAACATACCTTTCTATCAGGGAAGCTTCCCGAAAGGTACAAAGATGTTACCTGCCAGGCATTACTTAGCCATCCAACCATCTTAAACCCAGTTGGATGGAATTGATACAAATGGCTTAATATGCACAATGAATGTTGGACAATCCAAATCCAAATAGCAATTAAGCCAAGCTTATCAATTTCTTAGCATATATGATCAATTTGCTATTCTATTATGAATTTTTTTATCATTTTTTTTTTAATGAAATTTTTAACCTAATACTAATTCGGTACTTTATTTTTTAATCAAATTTTAGGAGACCATATAGCGCCAATTTTGCATACCTTTACTACGGAAAATGCATGTCCAGGCAAACTTAATAGAATTTGTAGTTGTTATATATATGTTAGGATCTTGCTACAATATATTTCATGGTGAACTTCATTACATTTTGTTTTGTATTGTTAAAACAGCCATGGAAGCATCAACTTCTTCTGAGGCTAACTCTCAGATTCCAGACAATTGCTGCATACCGCTTTCTGTTCCATCTGGAGATGAAGTCGACTCAGCCATCTCAGGGTTTACGAGGTAAGTAGTACAAAAATATTGGGTTAGGAAGTATTCTTATGTGGGTTTTATTTTTTTATTTGTGTAGTTTTATGTTTACAACGAATCTATGAAAGGCAAAACAATATTCATCAATGTTCTTTCTCTACTTATTGATCCACATGTGTCGTGCTTAGTGTTTCATTTTTATCCCATTTTTGGATAAAGAGGGTTGTGTGGCTTGAAAATCCCTTCATATCCCTCACTAGCATGAAGCTTAATATGAATATGCAAATAACTACTAGGGTATTCCCATAAATAGGGCTACAAACGAATCAAGCAATTCATGAATAGCTCGAGCTTGGGTCATTTAAAGCTCTTTTGAATATGGCTTGTTTACTAAATGAATGAGTTCGAGCAAAATTTTTAGGTTCATTTATTTATCAAGTTGAGCTCAAGTAGACCAAAGCTTGCCTCATGTAGGCTCATGAACACAAATGCTATAAAAATTAATATTCATTTTTAATAATATATTTTCATTAATTTAATTTATTTCGGTATTTATGTTTGGAGTTTTTGCTAATTTACATATTTAATTGATAAAACTAACAACAATATGAGCATTACTAACATTTTGCACATAATCTTATTTTTTTCTCTTAATTTGCATTTTAATTTTCTTTCAAAGCTCAAGCTTGACCTTGGCTCTTTTAAGTAATTGAGCTAACTTGAGCTGAGCTTGAGTTTCACATATAATAGATGGGTTGAGCTCAAGCTTGAGCTCGATTTTTTAAGCTCCACTTGAGCTCAACTTGAACTCGAGCTCAACAAATTTTCAACAAGCCGAGCTCCAACATCCCAAAGCTCGGCTTGATCCATTTGCATTCCTATTTGTAAGGAACTCATTGCTCCTTCCTTTAAACGTTTCAAAAAATGGGCAAGGGGCACCACATTAGCGCTCGAGTGCAATAAAAAGAAGGCGAGGGTCTTAGCATTTTACTAAACTAGCGCGGGTAAAGAAATTAGTCTAGGATTGTAGGTATAGATAGCAATGTTGAATATACGAACACTAATAGGTAAAACTATGAAATTAGTAAATATTATGATTAGAAGAAAAGAGTATAGCATGTTTACAAGAAACTAAATTGTAACAATGTAGTAACGATGTAGAAGAAAAAGTTAATGAAATTTGTGTATAAAATTTACTAGGGGTGAAATCAGTTCGATTTTGCATTTTTTTGGATAGAACCGGTAAAATCGGTTTTCTACACTTACGGCACTGAACAGACTGACCAGAACAGGTAAATTGGACTGGACCGGTAAATTGGGTTTTGGTTTGGCTTGGTGCGGTTTACCGGTCTGGGCATTTGTTTAAAAAAAAATAGTAACTACCTTTATTTATTTTTTTTGAAAAAAAGATCAATCTAATTAAGATATAAGGCAACAAACAACAACGTAGTTGCACCAAGACTAATTTATCAAATATCAAATTCAACAATAGTAAGAACTAATGCTTGTATATTATTTGAATGTTCGGTAAATTCGGCATAATTTGTAAATTTGTTTCAGTTCGGTTTGGCGTGAAATCTCCAAAACCAAACACTGAACCGAATTTCAGGAAAAAAAAATCTCAACACAGACTAACTGTTTGGCGGTGTAGAAAACAAACTGAAAACCGGTCGGTGCGGTAGGTCTGTTTGGTGTAGGCAGGTTTTCTTTCACCCCTAAAGTTTGCCATACTGGAAATGACATAGTAATAATTGTAACAAAGCATCTTAAAGATAGATAGACAAAATATTGTTTTTATAGAATGTGCAAAATTGAAAAACAAATGGTGAAATCTAAAAAGTGAGGAATTAGAATTATTAAAGGATAAAATGTTGAAAGAAGCAACATAAAGTTTGGAAAGTGATATGCTTTAATTTTGCTTAGTCCTTGACCCAAAATGCCACTCTCATTTTAATAAGCTGTGGAATGAGATTCCAATTGGGTTGTGTATCCATGAAGACAAGCTTGTTCCTAACATTTTGAATTCTCCACAAAATTGCAAATACAATCACCTCCCATAGAGCACTAACCTTTCTAACACTACCATCATCCAAAGAACACTCAATATTTGACACAAAGAAATTAAACAAAGTAGGGCACCTACCTTCCATTGCAATGATATCTTTCCAGATCCTGGATGAATTGTATGAAGATGAACCAAAAGGAAGCCAGGAGTTGTTCACATTGCCTGATTTGCTGCAGATAATTCTCTTCAAAAGAGCATTCCTTTGTGCGCCAACTCTCCACCACCATATCATCAAAAGACGTTCAATTCATTTCCCTGATTTTTCTGATTCCCAATCCTCCAACCTCTTTACTTTCTGCAACACTTTCCCATTTGTGGAATACAAATGTGATCATCAAAGCATTATTGCCCCTTTTTAATGCAAAGTGTTACAATATAGCAAAGGGAGAGAAACAAAGTATCACAATATACCAAAGAGAGTGAAATAGAAGAGTTCTGGAGAGAATAGAATATCAGTACATGATCTAGGCTTTCTTCTAGTTGTACTCTAGTGCTTCATGATTTATACTTGTTATCTTTTTCAATAGTTCATGTAATTTACTTACATATATATACACAGCTTTTTATACATTCAGAGAATACAAGAAATGTTTCGGATTGTGATTTTGTTTTACACTAGTTGATTTGGGTTCCCTTGCCTAGTTCGGATATGAATGCATCTGATCTTAATCCTATCTATCATATGACACCTCGTGTAGTTTTTTGCAATCTGACGCTGGATCAAAAGTCGGTTCACTTCCATTGATTTCAAGCCTTGATGGTCAAGGAAAGCTGCAATCTGTTGAAGGAATGACTATTCAAAAAGCTTTTGAATTGATGAACAGAGTCAAACCCATTCAGGTGCCTTATTCTGCTTATAATCGGTATTTTGAAACAATTGTTCTTCTCTTGTACTTGGACAAGACTATATATATATATTTTTGATAAATCACTTGGACAAGACATCATGCTTTCAATGATGAGTAGCAATTAATGATATGAGGTACACTCACAACCAAGGTTTTAAACAACGTAACTGTAAAAATAAATTGATGTATATTATTGATTGATTTGTATTTTACAAGATTATTGTATTGTTTACAAAGAGATTTACACTCTCTTTATAGCATGAATCAGCTATGAAGCGATATATATATCGCAAACTGGTCAATATGCATGCGATTTTTATTCCCACTGGTAAACCAGAGTGTATCTGTATTAAAGGCCAAAAAAAAAAAAAAAAATTCATATCAGCTGGTATTGCTATATATCATTCGATATTTAAAATCATGGTCACAACATGTTCCAAAGTGATCATTGTTAAATCCCTTGGAATCATTTATATGACCAACTTGCCTATCTTTTTCTTGAAACAAAAGTATTTGGTTTAAATAGAAAGAATAAAAGACTCTTAATAAATCACCCACAAAGAACATAAGGAATATTATTTGCTAATCTTTTGAATTAGTTAATCACGTGACAAGGAGCTTAAAGTTTTAAGCAGTTATTGTCATGAAAATTATTTTCATCAATTTATGTCCTCTAAATCTATTGGGCCCACTTTGTATGTAGAATTTGATCAAGGCTATAGCAACTAATGAAGAGATGTGGAATGCTTTTATAAACATTAATGAAGTTCAGGAATTCGTGCGGCAGCTGAAGACAGGTTCACAAATGCATTTATTTATTAATGAAATTTAAAATATTGGTAATGTTAGGATAACCATTGTTTCTTATCACAATTGGTTTACCATCTTATTTGTCAACATTGTATTAGTTTAATGGATTCCACCACTCATGCTTATTACCAATGCAGTATTAACACACATGAGATGTTAAGCAAAACATGATACAAAAATATAGTCATCATAGTATTATTGTTAAAATAATTGTACATCTTTCATAATACTAATTTTATATTAATCACATTTTAGTTTAATTTAATATTAATCACATTAACAAAATCTAGATTGATTGATAGAAATCCAACCTTAAACTGATCCTACGTCTGAGACCTTTACTATATATCATGCTAAGATGAATTTTTGCTTTGATTATATTTTGTTTTCTCCAAAGTGGTTAATTAATTTTTGTTAGGTTTTATTTCTTGGCAATCCCGTTTGACAAAACTCCTTTCAGTTGTATTTATTTTCGCACTTTTTATTTCAGTGAGGCTTTGAGTGTTTAGATGCGAATCCAACCCGAATCGTGCCTTTCAGAGAAGTTTGGCTGTTGCCCGTGGTTTTTTGATCACAGTTGGAGGTGTCCAATTGTGATTTTTTCCACGTTAAAATCGTTGTGTCTCTTTGTCTTGATTGTTTGATTGTTTGATTGGGATTGTTATATTCTGCTTAAAATTGATACATAATCACAAATCAACATCTAGGGGATTTCTAGATTTTTCAATTTTGCTCATAGGTCTCATATATTCGTCTCTAGTAAAGCGATATGATTACATTGGTCTTACTGTTGGGAGTGCAACTTGCCTTCTGCTACACCTCTTCTACTGATTGTTAAAAAAAATAAAAATATGAAAATCATCATGGACCGGAACATAATGAAGGGGGCTTATTTATCTTTATTTCTTCATTAGTATGTATGAATGATGTTTCTTAACATTAGAGAGAGAGAGAGAGAGAGAGAGAGAGAGAGAGAAGCTATATTGTCCTTTCTTATTGTCTAGATTAATGCTACCTTAACATATTTTTTATTATAATTTGTTTATTGTTTGATGTGGTAGACACATAATGATTGAATATTAATCAAATTATTTTGAGATTCATTGGAATAGTGATTGTAGGTGTGCCACATCGTATGGTAATCACAATATAGTAAAAAATATAATAATTCTAATATTATTTATAATTTAATGAAAATGTGGACTAGTTTGTGTCTACTGTCTAGTAGTTACAAAAAAGAAAAAGTTAGGGAGTGTAAAAACTAATGTGAAAATTTATTAAAAAATAAAGTTTGTGGTGTAGATTCAAACTTAGTGTAATGAAATCACATCCAAAATAAATTTGGTCCACATTTCAAAAAATTTATTTTTGACTTTTTTTTTTAAGCAACTTTTTTGGGCTATGTAATATGATTGTTCAAAAATATCATAAGAAAAAGATAATGAATATATTATCTCACCTATTTAGGTGCCAATGGACTAGAGGCAATAACGAGCAGCAACCCGCAGACGCAGGGCATTAGCTACAGTCAGCAACAGTCGTCAGGTCTCTCTGATTCATTGTATTTACTTTTATGATTTTAAATATCAATCGATATGTATGATATCAACTTATACATATCAGTTTTAAATTTTCTTGATATTGATACATTTATCGATTGATACATATTGACTTTTTTTATTTCTTGATATTGATACACTTCAGTTTGCTAATGGTAATAAAAATTAGGGTGAAATACACTCATTGCCCTTGTAGTTTGCCTCTTATATAAATTTGGTCTTTGTAATTCTAATTGCATTGATTTTACCTTGACTTTGTCATATTTTGTCAATTTAGTCTAATTCATAACAATATTTAGTGTTGTACAAATTGTATATCTAAATAAATAAACAGATTCATATTTAATTAAATTTATATTACAGAACAAGAAATCATGAATCTAAATCATGCAAGAGATTACAATTTGATGACAGAAATATTTAATCATGAATCTAAGGCCAAGTTTGGCATCTTCAAAAAAATTCAAAAAGTCACTATCCTATTTAAGTCACATCAACTTATTTAAGTCACATCACCTTTCTAACACATCACTTCAAACCCAATCAAAATCCAACCCATATTTCATAAAAAGTCAAAAAATGCACTTATTTAGTCTTCCCAAACTTGGCCTAAATCATGCTAGAGATTACAATTTGATGACAGAAATATTTAACAAGGTAAAATACTAAAATAAAATAGTAAATGAAGCAAAGTGAAGCCTATATGATATCACAGTCTACTTAAAACAGATTCGCCGCCTCACCATGGATGCTGGAGGTATGTCGGCGTTTGTCTTCCAGGAGATGATGGTTAGAACTTAGAACCCGCTAACGCAGAAGCATCTTCTGTTTAGCTCCGGAGAACTGACAATAGCAACACTCTCTTACATAGGAAGAAGATTACAGGAGCAGATTGACTGTATAGTATGAGAGCCAAAAATTCTGTGTTAAAAACTAAAAGAAATTGGTTTCCTTTTATACACAATGGGGGAAAGAGGAAGAGCCTCTTAGCCATGAAGGCTGACAACAAATGTAGTCAAAACTGCCCAATTACTCCTGCAAAACTAATGGAGTAATGCACCAAAACTAATGGGAAATAAGACACCATCTTAAGTGTAGAAGTTACACATAACGTACACGGGTGTATATATATAATAGCAGCCACCTAACAGACTTAGGTCAAAAAGATTAGGTTAGTGGACCACTAATCCAGTCCAGTCCAAACCTAACCCATTCCTCAAGCCTCAAGCCCCAAGGCCAAGCCCAAGATCCAAGATCTACAGACCCGGCCCGGCCCGGGCAAGCAGGCGGCGCACGCATGCGCACCCGTGTGGTAATTTTTGCATAATCAACTTGGACCATAGTTTTGGCCAAAACCCATCCCTGAAGCATCCATAATTCCCTTCCTTCGGCAAATTTGGATGCCTCAAAGGGCTCATGCTTTTATCAAAAACTTGGGATTTAAATACTATCAATGCTTTCCCCTACAATCAATGTGGGATAGGTGGTTATATACTATTCCCAATACCTCATTTATGATGCTAACTTTTTGAGACAATTTCTCATTCAATTCTCAATGATTTTTAGTCATTCTTTTTGTGGCATAAAGATCATGTTATAAAGAATGTAAACCCATTTGATCTCACATCAACCGGTGGTTAGGACCTACTTTAATTTCACATTAAAGTCACCATAAAATTATTTTTTTTCAACATTTAGAAATTGGACTGAAATCAAAGAGTAAAATCGTCAGTTCACTCTCATCAGAATGATCGAGGGGTTAGCATCCAATTTGAAATAGTCCATTTCTTTTCAGAACGGACTATTTTGCTCTAGATGTCTATTGAATTTCTTAACGAATATTATCGATTGGACTAAATTGATACAATCTGAAAAATTGCAGGGATAATATGTATAATTTATCCTAAAAATTACATGCATGTAGACTAGAAAAGTGTGATGGTCCACATCTAAGCTAAATCTAATCTATATATCTAAATTTTTTGGTTTTTAAGTATTTTTTGGGCTATGTAATATTATTGTTACAAAAATATCATTAAAAAAGGTAGTGAATATATTACCTCACCTCTTTAGGTGCCAACAAAGTAGTGACAAATCTCAGCACCAACCAGCAGACGCACAACAGTTTCTCGAGTCGGCAACTGTCATCAGGTCTTTCTAACTTCATTGTATTTCCTATGAGTTTAAGTATTTGAATCATGTCTTATATCGGTTGATACATGTTGATCTTTTTGTTTCTCGATTTGATACATTCCAATACATATATAGTAGTAATAAAAATTAGGGCAAAATCCAATTTACCCGCTTGTGGTTTGGCCCCATAGCATTTTATTGCCTAATCTTTAAAAAATAGCCAAAGATCTCCTATGTGGTTTAATTACTTTTTTCATCCAAATTTGATTGAAATTGTCATACACGCACCAATTTCGAGAGTTGGAATGATTTTTCATTTAAATGAAATTCAAATAATGTTGTAAAATGACATTTTTACCCATGTATTTGCATAATGAAATTTTTGCCCTTGTCGTCGTTGTCTTTTTCATACCATACAAACCCTAATAACTAGCCTTTACCTGTCGCCCCTATTCCCTTCCTAGCCCTAGCCTTGATCCCCTCTCCCAATTCTGACCTCCCCTATGATCCCCCTCTCCCCTCCCCAACCCCCTCGTCGTGATCCTCCCCGAACATGTTTTTGTTCGGGTTTTCTTTTGTGTTTACTCAACATTTTGCACAATTTAGTCTTTCTTTTTTTTTTAAAAAAAAAATAAAAATTAGAAAGTAGATAAACTAAAACAATTAACTTACATATGAAAAAACTTAACTAAAGGCAAAATTTTTTTTTGTCTAAAAATAGTTTTTGAAAAATCAAATCAAATAGAGTATCTATTTTGAAGTAATTTTTTGGGCTATGCAATATTATTTTTTCAAAAATATTATTAAGAAATGTAGTGAATATTATCTCACGTCTTCAGGTGCCAACAACATAATGAGAAACCCACCCAAGCATCAGCCCTCAGATGGACAATACCTTCTTCAGTCAACAACAATCATTGGTCTTTCTAACTTAATTGTATTTCCTATGATTTTAAATATTAAACGATATGTATTATATCGATTCACACATGTTGATTTTTTTGTTTCTCGATATTGATACATTCCAGTATACCAATTGATACGTTTAGATTTTTTGATTTCTTAATATTGATATGGTGATTATAAAAATTAGGGAAAAATTCAATTTAAACCCATGTGGTCTGGCCTCATAGCATTTTACCCTTTTATCATTCAAGGGTAGCCAAAGATCTCCCTTATGATTTTGGACAAAAGTGAAACTATTACATTTTTTGTCCAAATTGATTGAAATTGTCATAAATGCACAAATTTCGAGAGTTGGAATGATTTTTCATTTTTAAATGAAATTCAGTGTTGTAAAATGACATTATTACCCTTGTGTTTGCATAAGAAATTTTTGACCTTGTTGTCGTCGTCTTCTCCATACCCTAAAAACCATATCTCTAACAGCCAACGCTCTATGTTGCACCTATTCCCTTCCCAGCCCTAGCACCAACCTTAGCCCTGACCTCGACTTCCATTTCTGACCTCCCCTGTGACCCCCCTCTCTCCTCCCGAACCCCTTGTTGTGATCCTGTCTGCTATGAACCCCTCCCCGCAGCCCCCCCAACCATGACTTCCTCTCCCATTCTCATCCTCCACTGATCCACTGTATATAATTGTATATATATACATATGTGTGTATATTGTGTGTATATATGGTTAAATTAAAGTTTAGGTTAACAATTTTAGATAAAAGGTTAAATAAATTGGATTTAGTGTTAAAATAATTGGTTTAAGTTAGAAATTATATTTAAAGTTTAGGTTCATGGCCCTTGTTGTTTGCATCTTATATCAATTTCGTCATTGTAATTGTAATTGCTTCGATTTTACCTTTTTTTATTTATTTATCACATTATGTCAATTTAGTTGAATTAATAACAACATTTAGAAGCTAGATTGAAATCAAAGAGTAAAGTATTTTATTAACTCTCATCAAAATGATTGAGGGATTGGATTTATCAACAAAAATAAAAAAATGAATGAGGGATTGGCATCCAATTTGAAATGGTCCGTTCTTTTTGAACAGATTATTTTGCTCTTGATGTCTATCCAATTTTTTACGAATATTATCAATTGGATTAAATTAATATAATTTGAAAAATTGCGGGGACCATCGGGTATAATTTGGCCTAAAAATTGTATGCATATAAGAAGAGTGTGATAGGTCACATCTAAAATGAATCTAGTCTATACATCTAAAAATTGTTTTAATTAATTTTTTGAGCTATGCAAAATTATTGTAACAAAAATATCATTAGAAAAAGTAGTGAACATATTATCTCACCTCTTTAGGTGCTAACAACATAGTGACAAATTCGAATAGTAACCTGCAAACGCACAACCGCTTCTCTAGTCAACAACAGTCATCAGGTTTTTCTAAATTCATTGTATTTCCTATGATTTTGAATATCCATTCGTACATTATTATTATTATTATTATTATTATTATTATTATTATTATTATTATTATTATATTTTTGTGTTTGTCAATATTGGTACATTCTAGTATACCAATTGATATGTTTAGATTTTTTGATTTCTCAATATTCATAAATTTTAGTATATATATGGCGGCAATAAAAATTAGGGAAAAATCCAATTTTCCCTTTTGTGGTTTGGCCCCGTAGCACTTTACCCCCCTTATAGTTCAAAAATAGCAAAAAATCTTCCTTAGGGTTTTGGATTAAAGTGAAACGGTTACAATTTTTTCCACCAAATTGACTAAAATTGTCACTCAAATTTCGAAAGTTGGAATGATTTTTCATTTAAATGAAATTGAAATAATGTTGTAAAATGACATATCTACCCATGTGTTTGCATAACTTTGCCCCCGTTGTCATCTTCTTCTCCATACCTTACAAACCCTATCACTAACAACCAGCCTCTCCTTGTCACCCCTATTGCCTCCCCAGCTTTGGCTCTAGCCCTAATCCCCTCTCCCATTTCTGACCTCCCTTGTGAACCCCCCTCTCCCCTCCCCAACCCACTCGTCGCGATCCCTGTTGCCCCTATTGCCTCCCCAACTCTGGCCCTAGCCCTGATCCCCTCTCCCATTTTTGACGTCCCTTGTGACCCCCCTCTCCTCTCCCGAATCCACTCGTCGTGATCCCTTTTCCATCCTCATCCTCCCATGACCCATTGTATATAGTTGTATATGTATATATATTACTTTTATTTATTATGCATGTTAAATTAAAGATAAGGTTAAAATTTTAAAAAATAGGTTAATTACAATGGATTTTGTGTTAAATAATTGGTTAATTATATTTAAAGTTTAGATTCATTGCCCTTGTAGTTTCCCTCTTATATCAATTTGGTCATTCTAATTCTTATTGCATTGATTTTACCTTGACTTTGTTATACTATGTCAATTTAGTCCAATTCAGAATATGTAGAAATTAGACTGAAATGAAAGAGTAAAATAGTTAATTCACTCTCATCAGAATGACTGAGGGATTGGGATCCAATTTGAAATGGTCCGTTTCTTTTTGAACATACTATTTTGCTCTTGATGTTTTTTTTAATTTCTTAATGAATATTATCAACTGGACTAAATTTATACAATCTGAAAAATTACGGGGACCATAGGTATATGTATTGGCCTAAGGATTAGAAAAGTGTGATGGATCACATCCAAAATGAATCTAGTCTATACATCTAAAAATTTTGTTTTTAAGTAATTGTTTTGAGCTATGTAATATTATTGTTACAAAATTATCATTAAAAATGGTAGTGAATATATTATCTCACCTTTTTAGGAGTCAACAACATAGTGACAAATCCAAGTAGCAACCCCCAGACGCACAACTTCCGTAGCCAGCAACACTCATCAGGTCTTTCTAACTAAACTTGTATTTCTTGTGATGTTAAATATTGAACGTATATATTATGTCGGTTGATACATATTAATATTTTTGTTTCTTGTTATTGATACATTCCAGTTAAGGTTTTAAAAAGCAGCCACAACCGTTACGTAACGCCGTTATGTAACGGTTGTGGTGGTTACCGCCACCCGTTATGGCTACTGTAGCGGTGTGACAAAAATTCACATATGTAACGGCCGTTTCGGGGTTATGTAACGGCCGTAACGGTCCGTCATATACCGTTACACTATTTTACAATATTTTGAATAGCTTTCTTTTCCCAAAAAAAAAAAAAAACAACAAAAGCTTACAAAAAAATAACAAATACTCAAGTGATCCAAGTCCAAAGAAAAAATCTTGTTTGGATTTTTTTTCTTTATAATTTTTTTTTTTAAATTTTTATATCATTATATTAGCATGTAAAATAAAAATATATAAACAATTATTGTATTTATTTTTATAATCATTTTATTTGATATTTAATTATAAATATTTTTTTTATTTTGTCACTGTAATGTGTTGTCTAAAAATGTCTTTAAAAAATAAATTAAATCAGTTACTCAAAAATAATTTTTATGGCACAAATTTTATTTTTATAATCATTTCATTTAATAATCGTGAATATTTTTTATTCAGTTAGTTCAGATATTGGTAAAAAATAATTTGTAGATATTTAAAATTAATTATTCTTTTTTTTTTTCATTATTCTTAAAGTCATTAACTATTGAAATAAAATGTAAAAAACTCATAATTTGAAAATATGAAATATATTGGATCATACTTAAAAATTAACAAAAATTGATCAAAATCTATTTGAAACCCCAATAAAGGTGACTTTGAAAAAAGAAAAATATGTATCGGTAAGTTTTCTTCAAATTGTGCAAAAAATAAAAAAATTCACGGTTTTAGTTACTGCAACCGTCACACTACAGCCTTTACACCCCGCAATCACAACCACACCACTGCAACCGTTACGGCAACCGCTTTTCGAAACCTTGATTCCAATATTCCAATTGATACATATTGATTTTTTGATTTTCAATATTGATACATTCCAATATATATATCGAATTTACTCCTTTGTGGTTTGGCCCCGTACATTTTTGCCCATGTGTTCGCTGAATGCAATTTTTGCCCGTCATCTTCTTCTCCATACCCTACAAATCCTAACGCAAACAGCCAGCCCTAGCCCTGACCTGCTCTCCCATTTCCGACCTCCGCTTCCACCCCCCTCTCCCTCCCCAGCCCCCTCGTCGTGATCCCCTCTCCCATTCTCATCCTCATTTCACCCACCATATATAATTGTATATACATTTTTGTTTATATATTACGTATATATATAGTGTGTATGTATGGTTAAACTAAAGTTTAAGTTACAAATTAAAAAAATAGGTTACATATAAATGATTTAGTGTTGAATAATTGGTTTAAATTAGAAATTATATTTATAGTTTACGTTAAAATTGAAAAACAGGTTGAGTAAATAGGATTTAATGTTAAATAATTAGTTAAGTTGTAAACTATATTTAATATTTAGGTTAAAAAATTTAAAAATAGGTTAAGTAAATAGGATTTAGTGTTAAATAATTGCTGAAGTTAGAAATTATTTTTAAAATAATTGGTTAGGATTTAGGGTTAATGAATTTGATTTGGAAGTTTTTTTTATTTTATTTTATTTTTTTTTATAAATAGAAGAGATTGAGAATAGGAGGAAAAGGAATAAAACATAGGGGTATGAAGGTAACTTTACACGACGTTTGTGGAGCTGACGGTTACACTTCAGTACGAAACCTTATGGATGGTGTCTGGCTATTTTTGAATAATATGGGGTAAAGTGCTACAGATCAAACCACAAAGGGATAAATTCATTTTTCCCTAAAAATTATATGTATATTGACCAGTTCATAGTTTTTTAGTTGATTCAGGACTTGATTCATAACCAATAAAGCCAGTTCACAGCCAGCTCGACTGCTGCAAACCTCTTTTCCCAGTTGATGGATTTTTAAAAATTTACAACTGAATCACCTGATATCTCTTGATACACCCAATTCTGCTATTTAAAACCTTGATTTCTATGTGATATTGTGACTTTGTGAGTGACTAAAGACTGTTTCTTGCAGAGGCCAAACAACAAAAAGAGCATACTGTCTTCTAACTTTTTTTGTGAGAAATAATAGTAAGTTTTTATGAAGAGTCCCTGTATTCATGGTTACAATTTTTTGGCTGAGAAAAGGAATCAGACCATTGCTTTCCATTTTGTTAGTTTAGCATTAATTGCTACTTCATCAATCTTATTGATTAGCCTATATGTATTTGTTGTATTTGTCGGTACTTCGTTATGGACTGGATTAGTTTTTCTACTACATATCCTTAGTTCTCTCATCTATTGAATGCTCTTGGAGTAATGTTCTATACCTTATGTTACCGCCCCCCCCTCTTGTTTTCCTTCGATGCTTGCTGTATATCTCTGTTTAATATCATGTAGGTATGACAATGATTTCTTAACAAAGAATCAATCTTAAATATCCACAGTAATACAAAATGGTGACAAAAAAAAAAAAAAACCAGTATGGCATTTTCATTTTTTTATTAATTTTTATTCATGCAGCTCAACAGGAAAGTTTAAAGCCTGGTGCATGGGAAAAGATCTTGGAATTCATTAGGATTGGGAAAATGATATTCATGGATTTCAAGTTCTTGTTTCGGAAAGATGGAGGTGGAGGTGGAGGTGGAGGTGGTGGTGGTGGTGGAGGTGGAGGTGGAGGTGGAGGTGGTGCTGGTGGAGGTGGAGTTGGAGGTGGAGGTGGACGTGGAGGTGCAGGTGGTGGTGGTGGAGTTGGACGTGGACGTGGACGTGGACGTGGAGGTGAACTGCCAAGCGACGAGTATCTTGAAGTGGCATTCCTCCTTTCCATGGTGCTGATGGTGGCTATACGACTAATGCGCTTCTACGTCATGCAATGTTGAGTATACTACGATTACTACACGCTTTGTCATTTGTTATTCATAAATCTGAGAATGCAGAAACCAAACAAAGAACTGGACACGGAAAATATATACTAGAGAGGATTGTTTAGAAGTGGATCCCACCTATAAATCTTGTAAAATTCTGTCCATTCATATATTTTTTGTTGTCCAATTCTGTGTCTGATTTTCTGTGTTCTTGGACTTATTTGCCGACGTGCGTGACTGTGCTTTGTTGTCATAAAACAGTAGACAATTTTACCAAAGGGTGACATGCACCTCTAAAACATGATGGTTTGTAATTTTGTTATGCCCTAAATGCTTGGACTTTCTAGTGTGTTTAAAGTCCATTGGGACTTATTGCTTGTTGCTGGGTAGTTTGTTCACCCTTTAGGTTTGTGCTTTACAGAGAGCTAACTCTTTGGGTTGTTTTTCTAGAGTCACTTTGTGTTTCTATTACCTATATGTAATAATGAAAACAGCACTAGTGGCTTCGTTTTATTTATTTATATGTAGTTGGTTCTTTATTCCTATATACTTATTGGTGCTCAATTGTTTTATGGGTAAATTATAATAGTAGTCTTTGCATTTTGTTTCATGCGTCATTTTAACCTCTACAGTCTCAATTAACTCAATTTTGATCTTACATTTTAAATTTTGTATTAATTTGGTCTAAATGATAATGTCTTTAGGGTTTTTGACAAAAAATTATCAATGAGTTTGTTAAGATTAAGTCGTTGAATTGATGAAGTTTATAATTTTTACTTCTAAAAGCGTAACACGTGTTGCTTATGTGTGCATTTGTCAAAAAATGTTAACAATTAGGAGACAATAAAAAATTCAAGATTAAAATTGAGTCAATTAAAATTATAGAGATTAAAATAATATAAGAACCGAAGTATAAGGATGAACCGTGTTATTTCCTTTATTCCTATTTCTTTATAGCATCCCTAAAGATCCAACTGAAACACATAATACTTTAATGCACCTCCCTGCATAGAGACTGTTTGGTGCACTTTATGGAAATGTTTATAATTTTTTTTTACTTTAAAAATTTGAATAAAATTGTTTGGTGTAGCTTTTGGTTAGAATTTATTAGAAAATAATATACTTGAACGGTTGATTATTGAAATGTAGTGCAGATGCTTTTAATTTTTAATTATTAGCATTCAGATTGGTAGAAATTACACCAAACATCCACATAATCTTTGTGCATCACCTCTAAACTACTAATCAAAAGAGTTCTTACCCAAAACAAGAACAGAGCAAAAAAAAATTCAGAGTATTGGCAACCCATAATAAGTAATACAATTTTGCATGTAAATAAAACTAATTAAAGAATTAGATATAATCCCCGAGGTGAGACTCAAAAAACTGTACAAATATGTGATTATGTGATCGATTTTTGCGTTTTTAGAATTTTCCTATTTAATAGGGTATTTAATATAAAATTTTATTTAATTATAGTGAGATTTAAAGCATTTATAATAGATGTGTTAAAAATGTTAGTTAAAGCGCATGTTATAATAAACAAACAGGCAAATGTGAGGTTCAATTTTATGTGTCATTTATTTGTTAATTTAATAAGTGGATGGATATTTTATTACTAATTAAAATGTATATTAGGTTAGAATGGAACCACTTGAGTATGTAAAATTTGAAGAACAAAAAGTACAAAAGCAACTGTGTGGAGTTTCAAGTTATGTTTAGTTGAATTGGGAAATGGTGAAATAAAAGAGTAAGTGAATCCAAAAGACAAAAAGTGAAATTGTATTTCCCCTTCACCTTCTTTTCCCCTATGCTTCATATTCTAACGAAACAAAAAATCAGATTGGTTTTCCTTTTCCCTTTTCATTTCTCTCATCAAATCCTCCTAAACACAATCTTTGTCTACCATTTTATTACCTACCACCTTAGGTTGGGTTTGGTAGGAGGATTTGATGATAGAAATGAAAAAGAAAAAGGAAATGCAATCTGCTTTTTGTTTGGTTATAATGGTGAAAAATCTAAAAACCCTCGAGATATTGATTCGTGATTATGTTTTAATTTTAAATAGTAAATATCAGTCCCAATCAAACAATCAACAACAAATCAACGTGAAAAAAATAACAATTTGAGCACCTCCAATTGTGCTAAAAATCACAGGCCAAAGCCACAAAACAATCCACTAAGAAGACAAAAAGGAATTACTTATGAGTACCCTCAATTATTTATCGAATCCACGCTTGAATTAAACCAAACTCAATGTGCCTCTTCCACCACTGTCTTTACCTTGGAATTGCTTTACCCAACGTTGAATCTACAACGCCGATGTCAAATCCGTGACGATGAGCCACTCTAAAATCTATCAAAGCTTCATATAACGAATCTGGTTTAAATTTGACCCATTTATTACTTTTGAATATGGGAATCCATATCTGTAACTATTGTTCATTTCATTTTCATCTTGTTACGAGTCGAGTTTGGTTGTTTTGAAGTTACTGCTGTGTTTGGAACAGGTTGGAAGTTAGTTTTTCTAAAGAGTTGTTGGCCAGATTTTGCTTGTTTGCTCGAGCGATCATTCTTGCGCTCAAGCAGTCTTTTTCAGTCAGTAAAACTTCTAGAAGTAGAGCATCTTCGCTCGAGTGGTGTTTCTTGCACTCAAGTGGTCTTTTGCAGGTTTAAACTTCTAGGAGGGGGTCATTGTGTTGGAACAATCTTCTATGTAAAATAAATAATGAAACAAATCAAACAAATAAAATAAATTACTTACCGAATTTATTTTACCAAATAAATATTTAAAAGATCAAGTCGAGTGAGTGACACTTTGTTCTTAAGACAGATTCGCCCCGCTACGGTGCTTACGGATAAAAGGCGTCTATCTCCCAGGATGCAATGATCTTCACAAATTATAGTAGCACTCCAAACAATTTGTAGGGCGAAGCAATCCTATGTTCTCTAAATTTTTTCTAAAATTATATGAAGAACATATATGTAACAAAGCAAAATCTGGACAGCAAAATTGAATTTTTTTCCAGTACCAAAGACTGCTGGAAATGGCTGTATTTATAGACAAACCAAAGTTGTCCAAACAAGTTCAATTTGAATCGAATAGGTGCAGATTTGAATAAATAGATACAGTTTGAAATCAAACAGATCTGGTGGCAGATTTAAACAGATGACTGCTGCTAGTTTAAACCTGTAACTGTTGGGTAGTTTTTGGCAGTTTTAAAACTGTAAAAACAGTTTGAATTTGTTAAGAATTTCGGACTGAAGGAGGTAAAATTTGGACAGAAAATTAAATTCAATTTTAGCACAAAATTGGAATTTAATTTCATTAAGAATTTCTAGAAAAAATTCAACCCGACCCACAACCGCGCCCGGCACGACTCAGCAGGCCGGACGGCGGAGTGCATGCGCATGTGGTGGTTTGAGCCAAGGTTCTATTTGTCCATAACTCCTCCATTCTACAAACTTGGGGTGCCCCTTGGGGCCCAACCCGAGTGTTGCCACCTAAAACTTATATACATATATAAGTTCTCTTAAGTTTCCAACATGGGACAAGCTTTACAAGGAAACCCACATTTAATTCTTTAATTGTCCATTCCACGAACCCGAAAACGACGTCAGATTCCCATTCACTCATAAATGGTTTTGACGAACTGTCTTCACTGTGTGACTTGCCATGCGGCAAGGAGCACGTTACCTCTTTGGACCCACCTTAAAAGACATGTGGACCCCACTCAAATTTTGGCTCAAAGTTAGCCCAAAATAAGTCTGTAAAATCATATTTTTCCAATACATTGTACGCTCGAGCGGTGACTTTGGTCGCTAGATCGGTGTCACTTATTGTGTCTTACGCTTGAGTAGTGTTTTGGTCACTCGAGCAGTCTGCGCGTATTTCAGTTTGGAAAGACGACTTTTTGAGTCACTTTTCATTTTCTCTCTCTCTAAAACACTCCAAACCCTAGTTCTTTATTCTCTCTCTCTCTCTCTCTGTCTTTAGAACTGGTCTTCAAACCTCAAATACTCTATCATCCGTTAATTTCTCCACCCTAGTTCTTTGGAGAAAAGGTAGAACACGTCGAGAGCTTCGTTTTAATCGGAGAGAAATTCGTTTTCGACTCTGCCAAACTCTTGTCTTCAAACTTTGAGGTAGGGATTTCTTCAACCTTTGGTATAATTTTTACCTTAGTTATTTGTCCATTGAAAGAGTAGCAATTTGGAAATTTTGGGTAAAACCTAGGTTTGATTTTGAAATATAAAATAGGGATTTTCAAATGGGTTCTTGAGAAATATTGTGGGAATGTGTTTATGCTTGAGTTATATTAAAATGGTGGATTTCCTTACTTAAAACTGGATTTTGAAAGTAAAGGGAGTTTTGTTCCAAAATCATGGATATTGGGGTTGTGAAAGAAAATGGAAAAGATGTTGGGTTTTAAAAGGATGGAATAAATGTGTATGTTGGTGATGATGGTAAAGTTGGATATGTAGTACACTCCCATTTGAAAATGATGAGATTATATCTTTTATTGAAAATTATCTGTTGAATAGAAATACCTTTTTTGGGCTATTGGTGGAATATAGTTTTGATTGTTGTAGAAATTGCATGAGAATTAGGTAAATTGAAACTAATTACTCATACATATTGCACTTGGCATTGTTGCATATTTAAATATTGAAAATGTATTGTTTGAGAAAATGGATGAATACTTTGGTGAATCTGGTTAGGGGGTGTGGTTGTGGTTATTATGTTGGCTTGTGTGTTCTTGGTAAAAGTCCAGAAACCCAGGCGATTAGGTGCCAATCCTTCCGGTTAGTACCAGTAAAATGGCTTTGGTAGTACTTGTATAGCCTATTGACAGACACGTACCTAGAGATTTCCAGTGTTTTGTATCCACTGCCCTGTTTTCTGATATAAGAGATTATTTTCATGAATTGCTATATAATCTGGCATTGCATTGTTTTGAGTTGAAAATGTAAAATGTTTGACAAATGACATTGCATATGCATTCACCTTATGACTTCATTAGGATTCATATATTATGTTAAAGTATCTCTACTTGGGTTTAGTTCACCCTATGTAGAAAACAATTTTTAGGTCCTGATGATATACCTCCACTAAGGACACATCTTAGGAGGACGTGGAGCCAAGAGCTTCATTTTGTTTGTTTGATATAATTATTTGTGTACAAGCCTTGAGTTTTAATTGTATTGAGTGAAACTCATTTTGTTGTACCCAAGCCTTGACTTGGAAAGATGTAGCTATTAAGGCATTAACTTATCTGTGTAGCCTTTTATTTCATTTCACTTATATGTGGCATATGCTATAGATTCATGAATTAAGATTTTTGAATTTATACTCGCATATGTCACCTTTTGTGCGTCAAACTTATATAAATGGAAGGTTAATATTCAGCATGTGACGTTTCCCATTAATTGTTTTGAGATGGGTTATTATTATTATTTCGAGGGCGTTACACTTCAAGCCTAAGTTTTTTGGAATTCACAGAAGAACACCTCTCTCTTTTGTGAATGAAATAATAAAAATAAATC